TAAAGATTGATTACCTCAGATTGATTACCTCGGGTTATATTACAAATTATTATAAAGAGATACCCTGAAGAGCTTTTGTTTTAATAAAAGCGAAACCGGTTGGTAATCAATCTTTAGAATCAAACAAACACTCAATTCTCCATTGCGTGTCATTAGTGCTTTTATAGCCAGTCTCTTTCTAGAAGATTAGGTGTGTTGTAGATACGACCTCCTCCTCTTTTACTTTTCCAGGATCAAACTTGATATAAATAAACTGGTAATCATCCTCAACATTTCATCAAATAAAATTTAAAATATCTACAAATCTTTAGATTTTTATTTGATGTGCTTAGAACTTTTGGTCAGACCAAAGTAGATCGAATATCACAAGAAATCCCAGATCAACCCTGATTATATCGACAAAAGAACTTTTCTGCATTAATATATTTCATACATTAACCATTTTGACATGGATATAAACATTTATTTGAATTTATCATTGGATCACTAGGCACAATTAATTGGACACTTAATCGATTAAGGGGTAGGGAAAGAAATGGTATTGTCAAATATCAAGTTGCAAGATAAGTTAATGAAATTTTCTCATATGAATCAATATGTATAATATATTTTTTCGTTTGATTTTTTAATCGATTTAAATATAATAATTACATATTATAATTATATGGACATTGTTCTTGACGAGGTAAATAATAAATTTGTGAATATGAATTTATTTCTCTTCTATTATCATCATCGATCAAAGTAACAACAATTATATAAATCCCATAATAATTATTTGTCATTAATTTTAATGAAAGACTAACTCTTTCGTTTTGATATTCACATAAATCCTCATAATAACTTGGAGGCCAAAAGCATTTAAAACTGTAATTATTTCCTCCAAGCCGAACACGAGCATAAAGACCGCAATTACACCGCCAGAACCATCCATCATCATTACCATTAACTGCATTAATTTTGTTGTCTGTCATAATTGAACGTTTTAATGGTCGATTATCGATATGATTGATCATTTTAGGTTTATGTAAAGGATAGATCGGAGAAGTTTCTAATGAGAAAGGAATATTTTTTAAACTTCGAAGTTGACAAAGAGCAATTTCTACATTGCTTCGATTAACACGTATAAAACTATTGCATTGTTGTTGATAAATATTTCCACAAAATGCTTCGTCATCACCGAACGAACAGTCTTTACGATTGTCACATATTCGATTAGATTTTAAATATCAATCTTTCTTGAAACAATGATAATGACTGACATCTTTAAATATTGATTTCGTTTCTAGACATTGACGACGTTCATCTGATCATCCAAGACAATCGATTATTCCATTATCAATTCTACTCACTGATAAACATAAAAATGTTCCAGGATGTGGAGATATATATGGATGTGATGGAAAATAGCAAAGAGATTTTGAACAATTTTCTTCATCTTTACCATTTTTATAATTTCAAAATAGATTACAACGCGTATAAATAATACTACAGGGCCAATATTGACATTCTGTTTCATCTGTATGATTTTCTCCATTGATTGTTTCAGGTAATAAATGAATAATTCGATGACATATTTCATGAAATGATATATCTGATAATTTTAATGACGAAGTAATAGAAGGACAAGTTTTCGGAAATAATAGAGAATAACATATATTCTCATTTGGACACTTAAATCTTCGAGTATTATTCATTGTACAACTTAATTCAAATTGTTTTTCATCATCATTTAAATAACAATTGAAAATTCCATCAACAATTTGATGTTTTGAAATACATTTTAAAGAATTTTTACAACAATATAATGAATTATTTTCAATAGAACTTTCTTTTTCATATCTAGTTAAACACCTATGAAAATATGATTTTATTATATCATTAAGAGATTTCCATATATAATATTTAATATTTGATTTAAATCCAATTTGATAATCCATTCGACAAGTTTTATTTTTATACCGAAATGTTGTTTGGAGAAAATCACATAGTTCTTCATCATAACAGACATAAGTCGGTGGGAAAGCTAACTTCATATTAATCATTTTTCTATCTATTTGACCATATAAAAAACTTACATGACCAAAAAGAACACGAATTGTTGGAAATTAAATAAGAGAATCATAACCCAGGCGAGCAAAGGACCGGTATAAAGACTAGTCGCCTTTATGACTATATGTCATGTCTAGTCTTTTTCTCAAAAAATACTCTACCATGACTAGTCCGACATTGTTTAGAAGTCCTCACTTCACGTCCTGACTACATAACTGATTGACGTCAGTCTATTGATGCGTGTAGTCTTTTTGCTAAACAGGCTAGACTTGTTGCGCTGCCGAGACGCCCGTCCGAGATACAGTTTGGACCAAAAAAGGACGAGCGTCCACGACGCTGCTTCTGACGGGTTGTAGTCTTCTGTAGTGGTCTGGTTGAGACTAGTCTAATGATAGAAATATAAAGCAGAAGGTTAGATTCTCCAATGCATACAATATATGTCCATGGACGATTCAATGAACTAAATGTTCGGAAGATTAACTTCTATATGTCAATAGACATTCTAAGATCCTATTTAATACAATTTTAGCTCGAGTTTTTACATACATAAAAAATTAAAATTAGATAATGCAAAATTAGTTGAACAAGGTTAAATAAAATAAATTCAGAAATTTTTTATTTTATTCGAAAAATTTTTTTGTTCATTGACATTTAGGAAAAATTCTTTGGTAATATAATTTAGATTTGTTTTACTTTAAAATGGAAGTTAAACTAAAACTTAAATTTGAATCAACAAAAGTCATATAGTTAAAATAAAAATTCTCATAGAAATATATTAGACATGTTCTAACCAACGATACCCTCAAATACATAGCCTAATTACCAGCTGCTCCTGGTGTTATGGTACCGATTTCGTTGGCGTTTAGCGTGTAAAAATGTGCATCGTTACTGCGCTCATGGTAGCGATAGAGTGATCGTGTGTTCGTCTGACTCGTCAAATAGATGTATCTTGCAATTCTCTCATATTTCCAATTTCCAATAGCAGCACCAACTACTTTTGTTCCAATTTCTTATCAGTTAATCGTGTCAAAATGTTGATTACTGCGAGTATTAACATAACGATATAAAGGAACTGTAAGCGATGGTTGAGGACCTGTCGAATCATAAATTCGACCTATATCACCCTCGGAAACTTAACTGAAACGACCGGTGCTGCCAGGAGTAATAGTACCAATTTCGTTTGAATTTGTGGTATAGAAATGATCATAAGCACTCCGACTATAACGATATAGCGGAACCAGTCCACCTAAACGAAGCGTAAACGTTTGAAAAAAGAACAAGTAGAGTATCTAATTTATTCATAGTCTAATTTATTCATTCGATACTGAGTGCATCTTTTTATGCGATGCGATGGATTTAAACTCAGAACAAAAACTCTCAATTATATAGTGTCTGTTGCTTATATGCGTTGAGGGTTCGCTCAATATGGACACGACAGCCGCTCGAGTGAAATAGTATAGAAGGAAAAAAATAGACTTCTATTTGTTTTCTTCAACATATCCCACGCTATTACCTTTTATCAAGGACAAATACGAGATACTGTTTGTCGATGGGGCGACACCTCCTATTATTCCCTTTTTGGACAAGAATTAACGTCGGAAATAGATCATTTACCAGTCAGCTTATCTCCGTTGATCTCGGCCATTATTCTTCTTTCATGCGTCGAAGACAGAAAGCAGTTTCATCCATCTCTATGGCGATTGTTTCACTCAATTTCGTCGCGATTAAATTGTCCAGCAACTAGTGAAGAAGCACAAGATCAGATGGTGATTTCTGAGGCCAGGCAACATCTTTTTGCTCAACAGAGATATGTACCCGATTCGCTCGTCATCTCTCCAGTTCACTTATCTCACGTTTCTCAATCCAATTCTTCGGTATTTCGTACACTTTTAGAACCAACAGTCACGTTCTCTTCAGGTGAAACCGTTCTCCTCTCGCAACTGTACATCATGGAATTAACCGCAGAGGCTCACACACTGGAAAATCTCGCTCAAAATGTCAATCATAGGACGAACATGTCGCTGTCTGTGTTCAAGAGTCAGTTAAGACGATTATGTGCGTCTTCTCTCGTTTTCTCACACCATGCTGTCGTCCTTATCAATACTTTTTTAGAATCATCTGATTCTCTGCGTATTCTCATCGATGATATTTGCTTCGAAGGTTTTCGTCCGTTTTACGGATTTGAAAGTCGAGATCATCCGTTGATTGAGAGTTGGCTGCGCTATGACGATGATGAATTTCGATGTTTGTTTGCCGGGTTAACCGTGCTTCTTCTACTCTCAAGTGAGAAAGAAATGAATTCGGGAATTCAGATGCAAATCGAACACATTCTTGAGAAATCACTCTTCAGCGAAACTGATTTTCTTCGTTGTGCGGCAAGAGCTTGTTTCATACGAGACATTAGTGAACGAACCATGAGTGTTGCGTGGAGCGCGGATATGTGGCAGAGACTTGGACAACTGCAACGCACCTGTATCGGAGAAGATTTTGTTCGATTTCGAATCAATTCGATTGGACAGATGGACATCTTGTTGAATATCGAACGACAACTGTTGAACTCGGATGAATTTTCGAGTCCATCGATCCTGATGCTAGTGGCGAATTATTTCAACGAAGTGAGTGTTTATCTGGAAAGACATTTACGAGCTCTCTTCCACGAGAAGAAGGTTGCAAGTAGTTATATCGAGACGATTCTGTTCAATTTACCGAGTAAAGTGGAAGAGAAACAATGGACGAAGCGATGGTATAATCTGTTGAAAATGATTCTCAATCACTTTCAATATGATCGTGTTCAGCAAGCTGCTCTGTTCGCGTTAGCGTCCACCAAGCGAGGCACAGAGATTTTGCTTCACTCTACCAAGTCTATCTGAACGGTAGATGTTACTTTATTTCTCCGCGAAGCCGATTTCGAATGAATTCCGATCTGATGTTTCTCGATTTCATAGAATGTTTCATCGTCAAATCGAACGAAGATTTCGATATCGATCCGATCAAAATGCAACTTCAGAAATGATGGCATACTTCGACAAGTCAGGACATATCTCAACAAGCTGCTGCGTACTATCTTTTGCTAACCCGAGAGAAGCATGAGAGTTTGGACGACATTCTCGTTCGTTCGAAGATAGATCTATTAGATCTGTACAATATACTTATGCGAAACTTGCAGTATCTCGCTCCAGATAATGAACATGACTGGATAACATTGACGGAGGATTTGATCATCGAATATTCTTCAACACTCCTTCAGCAATTTGTCCTGGACTTTTACTCTGTCTTGCGCGCTAAGGAAGGGATCGTCAGCTCGGAAAAGGTCCACTCACATTTCTTTGGGATTATTCGTCATTTACGAACCCATCATGTTCAAATTTGTCCGACAATACGATCGAGTCCATTCGAAGAAGAAGAATTCCAAAGGGCCCTCTTTCACGTCAGGAAAAAAAGCACTGCTAAACGAAGAAAAGATTGTATTGACGTGTATTCGGACTTTGACGAAACGACCAGTGATTATATCAAAATGCTCTTCACAAGTTGTCTCGACGTGACTGTCAGAGATGAAAGTTCTTTTTACCGAATCGACAACGTTTCCGAGCGCCAGGTTGTCGAAGACATATTTCCTTATTTGAAATCGAAATCGGTCGTACAGAGCCATACGGCTGCTGTTTATTTGGTTAAGCTATGTCTCTCTGATCATGCCTCATTTACGGAAGTTCATCAGTTGTTTACAGAGATGATAAATGATTCAATTTCGCAGCAAGTTGTCTTGTCCATGGGAAGATCCGATGAAAGAAAACCATTGACAACACATATTCATTCTCTGTTACTTCGTATGACATGTCTTGAAAGTGCACTACACCGAGGCAGATCGTCTACTCTCACTTCTACCGATATCGAGATGGATTTTTTGAACTGCACCTCTTTATGCATCATGCAGTTTTTCACCTGATTGGTTTTTCACCAAGTTTTTTCACCAACTTCCTTTTTCACCAGTTTTTCACCAACTTCCTACTGTAGTGCAACAGTGATTGAAGGTGTTTAGCATTGGCGTTGCCTTCTCACCCTTTTTCAACACTGTTATCTTGTAACTTATTTTTTCTTGATTATTCAATAAAATAGCCCAGATCAGTAGTGTCAAACATGAAACTTGAATTCAATTGAAATATATCGTTTCAACTGAAAACGTTTCAATCGATGTTTCAACTTTCAAGTTTCAATTCAAGTTTCAACTTTCAGACTCATCTTTTCTTTTGATGTCATCTTGTGTTCTCTCTTTTTCGCTAGTCTACTATTGTCTTCCTTCTGTGGGGTGATGTGTTCTCTTCTCGTCGTTTTTTTTATAACTGATCATCATTCTCTTCATGGCTCCATTCGCTTTTTCGTTGAATATATTTTGCCGAGTTGCGGCCGGGGGGGGGGGGGGGGGGGGGGGGGGGGGGGGGGCGGGGGGGGGGGGGGGGGGGGGGGGGGGGGGGGGGGGGGGCGGGGGGGGGGGGGGGGGGGGGGGGGGGGNCTGATTATCTTTAGCATATCAAAATAATATTTCAATCCACTGATGATAAAATAAAGAAACTAGTGTCTTAACAATAGCGTGCATGAAAAATCAATTCATTCAAATACTGAGCACTCAAAAAAAGTCAGTTTTCGTCAAATGAGGCCGCTCCCCTCTCAAAAATCGATCTTGGGCCAGGTACATTTAAATCGCCTGATATTTGGAGAATATGTTGACGCAGTAGCGGAGAGGCTATGGTAAGATTTTCAGCCATGCAACATGACATTTGAGCGAGATATTCACCAAACAAGGATCACAAAATAGCTCATTTTGCTACCAAGATTTCTCGATCCAGGCTCGTGTTATATGTTTAATTTTTTTTGTTCGAAAGAGCATGTCAAGATGCAGGGCACCCAGAGTCCCTTTTTTAAATTAAGCTATATTTTTATTATATACACAGACACGTATGCAACTAGATCCCCATTTTTGGCGCGTTTTTTGAGTCATTGAACTTGTCATCCCCTTTCTTCGCTTAAAAAGTAAGAATTTAAAAAAAAGGACTCTGTGGTGCCCTGCGTCCTGACATGCTCTTTCTAACAAAAAAAATTAAACATATAGCACGAGCCTAGACCGAGAACTTTTCGTCACAAAATGACCTATTTTTGGTCTTTGTTTGGGCAGTATCTCGCTTATACGTCGTAGGATAGGGCTAAAAATTTTATCATAGCTTGTCCATCATAGCCCCAACATATCCTGAGAATTTCATGCGATTCGTACGAGCCGGGACTGAGATCGGTTTTTGAGTGGGGTGGCCTTAATCTTTTCTTCGAAAGAAGATATAGTTGCATCGTTTGTTCGAACTGTCCTAAACGATAGAACAATGTCGATCCTTTCAAGTTTCAGGTGCTCAGTTTTGACTTTTTAACTAATTTTAGACGTTCCGGTGTCACTTTTGGAGGTGCTCAGTATTTGAATCAATTGATTTTTCATGCACGCTATTGTTAAGACACTAGTTTCTTTATTTTATCATCAGTGGATTGAAATATTATTTTGATATGCTAAAGATAATCAACTGTCGAGATATGGATGTTGTTGCGATGTTGGAATCTCTCTTCTAGGTGAAGTGAAAGGTAATATTGTTTTGTCAATGAGGTCGATACGATTTTTGTTCTGTTTTTGTAAAGTTGTTTGAGTTACTGCCTTTTGCATTGTCGTTATGCGCTCTATCACATTTGAATATTTTCTTTGCGATTGTTTGCGTTGCTGTGATGATAAAACTATTGGTAGTTGTGGTCGAAACCCAATGATTGCATTGGATACAAGAGCAGTTATTGAAGAACTGCTCGGTGGAGTAGGCACACGTGATGGAACAACGGGTGGAAGTGATGGAATGCAATTGTCTTCACGCTTAGGAGATGCGTCCATGCTTGCGTCAGTTTAAGGAGTCATCAAAAATATTGTTGAAATAGACAGTTTCAATCAACCTAAAACTTCCACAGGCAATTAGAATTGCTCGCGGGTAGTAATGATGAATATCTAATGTTGTGGAGGCAAGATATCGATAACTCTCGTTGAATGATAGAAGTGATGGGTATGTGAACTCATTTTTTTTCTCGTGGTGGTCTTCTTTTCTTTTGATGTCGTTTTGTGTTTTTTTTTTGTCCACTGTTTTCTTCCTTCTTTACCGTCATCTGCTCTCTTCTTATCCCTTCTTTTCATAATCGACTATCAATTTCTTCATTGCTCTATTTTCCTTTTCGTTCGATATATTTTACAGTGTTAATCTTTTCTTCAAAAGAAGGTATAGTTTTGCATCGTTTGTTCGAATTGTTCTCAAGGATAGAACAACGTCGTCACTTTCAAGTTTCATAGCCAAGTATTAGAATAAAAGAATTAAACGCACCAAGATTTTCTTTGTGTAAATTTGTTGCAGCTTGATGAAGTGTAGCTGCGTTGAATCCTCCATGCTTAAGGCTTATATTGATACATGGTATTTTTATACCTTTTGCAAGTAGAATAACCTTTTCCGGATAGCGTTGACCACCACCATCTTCTGAACGCATTACAACTTTCGATCGTCGAGCCTCTGCCATACTTTCTTGACTTTGTTCAATGAGTTCTTGATCATTCCTCTTTTGTAGAAGTCGCTGTCGCATTTTATCCAAAGTTTCGCCTACAGGAGTCCTGTAGGCGAAACTTTGGACCCCCTCACCCTGACGAAACCCTCACCCTCACCCTGACGTTTCTTTTGTTTTCATTTTTCGAGTCCTGTAACAGGACTCGAAAAATGAAAACAAAAGAAACGTCAGCAAGTATAGTGTAGCATGTGTACAAATGAAGGCAAAAAAGAGTAAAGATGATTATTTTTATGGACAAATTGTGGATCCATTTTTCCAGTATGGAGCATTTTTCAGTTGTTGAGAAGAACTACACCTTCGATTCATATTTTAGAAAGTTCAAGTAAATAATTTTTTTTAAATTCTACTTCATTTCTGAATAAGAGAGGAAGAACACTTATATACATTTATCTGCAATGTCGACGTCAGACGTGAATCATTACCTTATCTCGGTAAACAAGCTGACGAGAGACTGGCAGTGGACTGTAAATGAAATAGAGGACAATAAGAGAAGAAAAGTTAAGAAAAGAGTAGGTGAAGAAGAGAGAAAAAAAACAATCAACACCTAAATACATATATATTCTGTGATCTGATCATAAGTGTTTATCATAGCTACAAGAGGAATAAGATGATAGAGTTCGTACATTTCTCTAGATTATTTGTAAAAATCAGAAACTATGCATCATCTATGGAAGAACTTCAGATTCAAGGTAACTTACGATTAGTATATATATTCTTTTGAGTTACGATATAGTTTATTAACGATGCAGCAGCCTTTGCCGTACCTTCGCAAGCCACCGTCCATTTAAGTGTTTCTTTGAAGTCTCTCACTACTCTTTTGAGTAGATCAAAGACTGGCTTGCTCTTATCATAATATCCAGGTAATGAATCATTATTGATAAGTTGATCAAAAACAGCAGCAGCAAGGGAGATGGCATGGAATGCATCTGCCAATCTACTTACCTGTATCTTTGTTCTGCCTAGGATGGATCATAAGCCTTGATCAATTCCATACACTTCAGGGATTTGAAGAGTATATTCATCAAAAGTATCATTGATGACCTATAAAAATAGAGTTGAAGAGTATAGCTGAGGGAGGAAAACAATCATCTGTTCCCAAACAATGTTATGTATAGACGTATTGTTCATTTTCTGCTGTAATTCAAAATGTAAACAGCCGCATTTAATAATTGAAGTTCTTCATTTTTATCTAAGAATGCGAGAGTATGTTCTCATGAGATATTAAAACAATTATTATGAGAGAAAAATTAGCGCACCTTTTGAGCATCTTCTGAATACGAGTATATTATTCGTTGATCGTCCTCATCAGTGCGTCGTAAATCATTCTGTTCTGTGGTGTTGAAACAGTATATAATGTACAGTATGTGGATGAGACTTAGTTCGTCGATGTTAAGGGGCCTGATCACATTCGGTGAGGGAATAGATGGTTGGGCAGCAGAGGCAAGAAGACGAGCCATGAGACTATCATCGTTGGACTCGTTCGATGCAGAGGAGAAGATGTCAATAGGATGAGCTGCTGCACCAATATTCAATACAGGATTTTCTATCGTAATGTTTCCCGATTTTGTTTGTCGCTTGACGAAACTGAACTGTATAACTGAACTGTATAACGTACACATAATCGAACGATCGTACGTCGCACCATTGTTTGTAGAGACCGAACTATTGTAAACGAGCAACAGCTTCATCCCAAATCTGGATGAGTCTAGGACATCTACTTTCAAGTTCGATCAAAAGAAAGTCGATGGTTGCACCGCAGTTAATTCGGCTCTCTTCTGGTTTGATACTTGGATATCCAATGATAGTTGTAAAAAAAGAGATATTCGTTAATGTACCTGTATGAGTTTGAATTTGACTGCCATTGACAAAGTGACCAATGGCAGGGAGCATCGTAGTAATAAGGTACTCATACGGCACTAGAACAAATTGACTACTAGAACAAATATTGTCAATTAACGTGCAAATATTCTCATCAAATATTTCGGTCAAGTTCATCGGATACATAGCAGCCTTTTGCATGATGTTGCGTATCTTGTAAACAGATATTCCTTTCGACGACAATACGAATAAAAATAAGGATAACGAAAATGTGAAGAAAAGGACAATTCGTGTATTGATGATAGAGGCAAATAATAGAAGTTGTTACAAAAAGCGATTGTGTTCTTTATGACATACAAACCTTCTCTATACCTTGTTTCACATTCATTCGTGAATAGGACAACTACTTAATCCACTAAAAACAAGACCAATTAGTACTGTGATTGTTGTAAAGGATGTCTGTTTTGTTTCGGTATTTGTTCATCGTTGTCCGGCAGCTTTTATCCAAAGATCGGTATAAAAAAACACTGGCTTATCAACAATCATTATTTTTGTCCTATTGACTCTTTAATTGCTAAAGAGACAAGAATAAATAGAGATACAGGTCCTTCGTTTTCTTTTGTAACATCTCATTCAGTCAGCATACTCGCCATTCTTTCACATACTCTTGTCATTTCTATTCATATTCTCACTTGTTGTCTCCATCAACGATAAGCATTTTTACGAAATTCATTGCTATCTTTCTTCTAAACTTATATTCATTATTGCTTTTCAAACAATATATCCGCGAAAATCCAAGGTCAATCGGTACAAGTAACATAGAACTCTGTGTATGAAATTTTATCTTGTTTGTTAATAAAAATAGAAATTGTACTTAGTTCGCTTCATCGGTGCGACATATAGACTGATTCTTCGCCATCTCCTCCAATTTATGTGTATTGAACGATTCCTCTCCCTCGCTCTTTAAGTCGTACGATCACACCTTGTCATAATCATTTTCACTCTTTCTCTGTATTCATTTTTTTCTCTATACAACAATCTGTCCGTGTTCTCTAGACGAGTGAAACAATTAATAAAACAGAATAGATATTAAATTAATTGTATCAGTTCAAACACTCTTTTCCATTACGTCTTGCCCAGAAAATTAAGATAATCTTAAGAAAATATATTCATTAACTTAAAAATGGCTTCTTCATTCAGAGATGGGCGAAGTATACTCGTACTCGAGTACAAAATCTTCAGTACTCGTACTCGTACTCGGTAGTTTTCTTTACGAGTACTTAAAAATATACTCGAGTATTTTCGAGTACCTGAAATTTTTTCACTAGTATGCTGTACAAAGAATTTTTGGGCTTGCGAATTTTGTAT